GAGAATTTTCTATTGTGATATATTGTGAAGTGTATTTCGTAAACTTTATTTCATGATATATGGCCACGAGGTGCATGCTCATTTCATATTTTTATGTGATGTAATTAAATCCTTAGTTCAATGACACGATTTCACTTTTAACACTGACACACAAAGTTCTACCAATCACGAGTATTTTAGACGTCCTACCACACTACGCGACAACATTTTATACCGTGTAAATAGATCAGCTTGAACTTTAGAATTTTACTTTGACACGAAAAAAGGACAAGAAAATACAGTATAGTTCTAAATTAGAAGCTGATCTATTTACAGGTATGTACCAACAAGCTCAACTCTTTACTCTTGTACTTAAACATTTTGATTGAGGCAAAATATATTTTACTCGTAAACAAATAGATATTGAGTCGTATGAACACGATGTTACGTATGTTCATGTAGATTTTCTTCTACTCTTGGGTCAAAATTAAATAACTGAATTTAATATTTTTGGTACCTAAGAACAAAAGTAAATTTCACGGACGATCGAAGAAACTATATAGTTAATCGTTTCACAACGGAAATAGTGTATATTACCAAAAGAACGCGGAAAATATATTCTCAATTTAGCGGTTCAAACCGGTTCGAACCGGTTCGAAGCGGTTTGAACCGTTATTTTTGGCTCCCCGGAACTGAACCGGAACCGAACCGAAAGCCGTGAACCCGAACCGGAACCGAACCAATAAAAAGTTCGGTTCGACACCCTGGCCTGGAGAAGGAGAAAAACGTTTCGTTCCTCCCCCTTTCTCGTGTTCGCTTGGGGGCGCGTCAGTAGAAGGGAGGAAGACGCGCCGTTGCTACTTTTTTCCTCCATTTTTTCTTAGAGTGTACCTTTAATCGCCGCACCAACAGCGTGCAGCACAAATACAAGCTCTTGCTGTTGCTCCCGTCTCCGCGCACTTATTTCATGGAAGTCGTCGTCGAACAAACACTTTTTCGACGTTTTGACGAGACGGGGGCCATGTTAAAGCGCGCGCCGGAAAACCGGAACCGGAAACGTTTAAAAAAATAGGCTTCAGATGTCTCCTCGGTACCAAAGTGCGCCGTTAAGCTACGCTCCGAACCCGCGCGCTCGAGCGCAGATGTCCGGAGTCTGGAGCTCACTAACTTAACGCGCCCATTGTTTTCACCGTGTGCAGAGACGCACTCCCAACGTAGCGTTTTTACCGCGATAGCGTTTAGGAGCTCGTTTCCCAGAAAAGCCGGCGTCGCAGGACGGGAAAATCCTGATTGGTCGATAGGGTCACGACGTCACAGCCTTATGAGCTTGCGGGGGAACTTCAAACAACACTCACGTGAAACGTGACCTCACGCGTGAAATGAAACTAATTCAAACATGTAATGCGAATGAAAGGTCGCCGCATGTTTCAAATTATTTCACTTTAAAAAGTAATTAATTTTCCTTAAAGAAAGAAAGGTGAAGTTTCTTTGCGCGGAGGCGGGATTCTAACCCACGACCCTACGGCTGGGAGCCAGACACGCGACCGGCTAGGCCACGCACTGACGCTCGTACGGCTTGGGAACGAGCGGGGGTTTATATGGTTACCTAAGGCGTGTCACTCTTAAAGGCGAAGCTTAAGTGTCCACCTGTAACTTTTGTAGTGCCCTAAGCACGCGCTATCTGGAACAAAAAAAAAAGCCTATAACAAAATGCCGTCGTAGCACTGTCACAATGTCAAGAGCTCGTGCCTGGAGACGCGCTTTCACGCGCTCCAGAACAAAAACAAAACAAAATAAAAGCGTTCGGAACAAAATGAAACAAAACAAAAGCGTACGAAACAAAACCGATGTCTGCTTTGTTCCAAACGCTTTTGTTCACGCGCCCCGCTGCCAGACGGTGTGTGTAAACGCGACGCCGATGTCCAACAACTTTGCCATAACATGTCGCAGTTATCGCTGTGACTTTACTGTAAAATTACCCGAGACTGCACAATTCTTTTAATTTTTTGTGAACCTCCTGGGCAAGCAGGTAGCTCCCCACAAATGTAATGGGCAGAGGAGAACTTTGCGCGCCACCAAAAATCTCGCACGCCATGTTCTACCGAAGAAAGGTCGTGTGATCCCCGCTCGGTGCCGTTTTTACGTTGCCAAGATGTGAACATGTAGGAGTTTTCAGCACTTAGAGGTGCTGAAAACTCCTACATTATGGAGCATGGTTTCCGCGCTTTTTGAGATGACTAATTCGCGCATCCTGGGTTGTGAAGGCCGCCTACCAGGCCATGCATTTATAAACGTTGCCGCAACGTGCCAAACTCACTTCACTGTTTTGTCATATATGACGCCTTTTTCAAGTAAGGCATAAAACAAACAAACAGAAAAGAAAAACATTGTCTCTTTTGCTTTTTCCATGGGCGTTCTAACTGCATAGCATTGATCGGGTCTCTTCACACCGCTTTTATTGTAGGCAAATAATGATTTCAATGGACGGGCGCATTGGGAGGGTTCAGTGAATAAATGGCGTCACAACGTCTCGTGACTCTGTGACAGTCCGGAGCCGTGTGACGGTATGTGCCACGTGACATCCTGTTATTACGTGACGTGACGAAATCACATAATTGTGCCACCTCATGTCTCGTGACGGGCCGTCAAGTTGTCAGGTAATGGTGTCACCTGACATCACGTTACCACGTCACGATGCCATGCATTGCTGTCAATTGAAGTCGCGTGACGTCACGGTATCACGTCGTGTCACCTGACGTGACCACTTGACGTCAAGCTACGATGCCACATCACGGTGTCAAATAACATGACGTACGTGGTCAAGTGAGTTTGCGTTACGTGAAACTATGAGCTCTCCCGTGACGACGCCGTGTCACGTGTCGTGCGTCATGAAACATCCTGGTGTATCATACTGTCAATGTGCCGTGACGTCGTGTTAAAACGCGACAAGGACAAGGACGCCTAACTTGAGACCTGACGTTAGAATTAACAAATGAGACGAGCAAAGACAAAGTGATGTCAGAGTTAACGAATAGCATTAGAGGAAAATGATGTCAGCAAAAAGCTTTGTTCGTAATGCGTTTTTTTTTTTCCTTAATGAAAGATATCCGAGAAAGCCGGGCTATTTAAGGATTAAGTTGTCCCAGCAACAGCATTTTTCTCGGGAGCTCGTGCCGAGAAAGTCCCCTTGTTGACTCGTAAAACCTGCTAGATTTTTCCGTTCCTTGTACATAAAGTTATTTACAGACCATCATCAACGAAGCATCGGGAGTCCGCGGCGCCTCAGTAGGAAAAGAATCACCATCAACATTTACTGGGGTTCCCCCCCCCCCCCCATTAAAACAGCTGAAAATGGCGTCGTCCGACAGCTGAAGTTGCTGCGCATCCTGCATATCGTGGGACTCATTGTCGCACACCATCTTCCTTTGTCGCCGGAGCGCCGGACGACCGGAACATTCTCACCAGCTTTCGGTGGAGTGGGAAGTGTTTAGATAATACTACCTGCCGGCTAACTTCATTGCACACGGTGTTTGAAAATCAACCAGCCTCTGTTCCAGAGAGCTTTCGATCCCTTTTCAACTCTGAAAAAATACTTCACTTCAGCATCAAACGTTACGGGGAATTCAAACGCACGAGAAGGGGAAAGAGAAAACACGGTGTCGAGTGACCAGAAGCCGCCCCTCCGAGGCGCAGCTGGGGCTGTTTACAAGAGGGCCCGTGGTTGCCCGCCAGTTCGCGGGTGGCTCGGCGGAATGTTCCCGCTGAGTCATAAATTTCCGGAGCACTCGAAGAAAGAGCGTTGGTTCCTAGAAACACAATCACATGACGGAACGAATACGCATGCCGACTGTGAAAGCAAAGCACACAAAATTTAACATGGTGATTAGCGTGCATCCGCGAGGTCACACAGGTGACCTCCAAACGCGGTGAGGTATGCAGCTCTATCCGGAGAAAAACTCTGTCGTGTGAGAACAGCGCCGTTCACACACTTGCGACCGAGGACGACCGAGAGAGGCAAGACCGGTTTCTAAGCCTTTTGCGGCGTCTTGACCGGATGCGCTGCTGAGGAGCTCGTCCTAAGATGTCGCAAGAGGCTTAAACGCCTGTCTTGTCTCTCTCTGTCCTACTCGTTTGCAAGCTTGTGAACGGCTTTTTTGCCCGCGTCAGTCAACGAGCCCCTACTGAATAGGGAAGTCCTACAGCTTTATCACCTTCTGAAATGCTAATGACCTCCCCTGCTGCTCTACAAATGACCGATGTAATGAAAAAAAACTTACCGTTGAATCAGAACGACAATCGACCCTGATTCCGCCGCTTCGAGGTGCCCTGGCGAAATCAGAAGCCAGAAGCCGGGAGGGACGGAGAGGGAGGGTAGCCCTCGTCGCTCTGAATCCGTCTTTACGATTTTCGCGTACGGAGACTTCACTGAATATGCGCCGGTGGTCACAAATTTTCAATCGCGGAACCAAGTAGTTGTTTTACCAAAGCCTCTTTCTAAAATAGCTTCTCGAGTGATGCTTCATCAAAACCATGCGGTAGCCATTGTTGCAGAAGAGACCAAGACTTTGACATGGGATTAATTCCACTGAGAGCAACGAACTGTCCGAGCAACAAATAGTGCGAATTATCGATTTTGACTAGAGGGCGGTAAGGTCGTGGGGACGAACAAGGGTGATTTTTCATTTTACGCGCCACGTTTTCATAGTGCGGTTGTATGACAAGCCGAAATACATTCATCGCTTAGAAGCATGTCTTCGATAATATCAAAACTTTTACTAATTTTGTTTGCTTTGTTATTGCGAGCTATGTCTTCTAAGATGGGTACTGTATACTGCACTAAGATTTTCACGATACCATTAGGCTTTCCATGCAATAAAAAGGAAATGCCTTATGCACGATTAGAGAGTGAATTCGTACCGAGGACCTGAGTACAGCCATCACCAGTCTTACCGTTTCGGAGGTTTAAGAGGCATTTTATTGCGTCAAAAGCGCCCACCTGCTTATTAAGTTTACCCAAATAATCGAGACCTTCAAACAGTTTCCATTATTTTGCCCTTCAGAGTGTCTGTCACGTCGTATGTGTAGATGTCGGACTCCGGCGTGGTGACTCTTGTGAATACACCAGACATTTGAAAACGCACGTGCCTGCCGCCTACTACTTGCAGTTCCTTGTTCGCAAGGGCGAGGTAAGTCGCTGGCAAGATGAGAATGTAGGTGCCTTGCAGCGCTTGTTCGATCCCCATAGCAAAGTATCCACTAATGGTCACATTACAAGTCCAGGGAATATCCTGAAAAGGAAAAGAAAAGCATTCGTAGAGTCATAAATCTTGGGTGAGACATTTGTGGCACCTTTAAAAATATCTTTGTCTCAAACAACTTTAGTTCTTTCTGCCTCAACCCTGTGTTGCAGTAATGTGCAAGCACTACTTTCCGTGTAATTGACGTATGTAAGAAGTCGATGCTGGGTCCTTCATTTTTTCACTCATCCCTTCAGTAGAGACTTTAAAATTTAGATAAGAGTATAGGATGTCCCAGCAATACACTTTATGATCACGTCGTTGCCTTTGTTTGTGTTTCAGTAACATGAAACTGAGAACATACCAACCTTTAAACGTTATTTTTCAAATAAAAAACTGATTTAGATTTTTCCCTGCATAATATTATGATCAACACTTGTTTCCTCCTGTATACAAAACTCGCAATCTGTTTTTTTTTTTTTTTTTTTTTTTTTGTATAATGATAGGCAGAATCGTGACGTAGCTTTTCGTGTAGGGAACGTTAATACAAAATCACTTCAATTTGATCACAATATAAAAAAGTAATGTGTTGAGGAAACAATGATGAAGAAACACTATTGATGGGGGCATAGAAACATTTGATCGGACAAACGTATATTCGGGGCAATACAAAACAACCTACTATGATAAAAATAAACACGACTTGTAATGTAAATGGTGCATATGGTTGGTTACTCATAAACATCTATTTCTATCCTCACCTACTTTAAAAGGGTGGCAGGGGCAGCCTGGTTAGAAATAAAAAATAAATCACTCACTGTTGTGGCGGTGTTGGCGTACCACAGTACTTCGACGGTCTTGTTAGGAAAAACGTTGACTCCCGTGGCGACCTCAAAGGTCTTGAGTTTCGTCTGAGTATCAGTCGAGGCGGTTTCTCTTTCGTACTTAGTGCTGACTGAGTAACTCACTCCGTAAATCTCTTTCAATCCGAAACTTCCCGACAGCTCAGCGCCAACGCTGAATCCTCGCTTCACTGTGGCAGATGTTTTTTCTTTGCGGCTGGTAGTATGCGTCACGGTGTACGTCTGATTTTTTTTCGCTTTGTTTTCATAGAGATTGGCGTACAGAAGAGTGCGGATAGTGTCTCTTGGTATTGCCTTCCCCAGTTGTATATGGTCCATGTCGGCTTTTAGATAAAATCTGCGAAATAAAAGACACCGTCGAATCGATCCAAGTGTACATTTTCAAACAAACGAAGCAATCAATGAGCCGTTGATCAGTGAATGAGCAAATTTTGTAGCATTGCTGGCAATACAGGCGTGGGCAAGACAAAAGCAGGTGTGCGCTATACGTTGGGAATATCGGCGAGCCTTAATTTATTTTTTAGAGCGCAGCTCTTAGGCGCCAGTTTCCGGCTTGAGCGGCGTCGGCATCGCTGTCGGTCACTCGTGACGTCACCGCGCGGTCATGGGTAAATTTCCCCGCAAAGTTTAGCGGAAAAATATACCCACTAAATTTAGCGGAAACATATCCTTGCTAAATTCAGCGGGAAAATTTCCCCGCTAAATTTAGCGGAAACTTTTTCTCGCTAAATTTAGCGGAAAATATCCCCAATAACTTTAATGGAAAACATTCCCTTCTAGATTTAGCCAAGAAATTTCCCCGCTAAATTTAGCTAAAATTTTCCCCGCTAGTGGAAGAAATTACCCTCTAAACTAAGCGGAAAAGTTTCCTTGCTCAATTCGGCGAAAAAATTTTCTCGCTAAATTGAGCCAAAAATGTTCCGCGCTAAATTTAGCAGAAAAAAGTTTCCCGTTTACTTCAGTGGCAAAAATTACCCGCTAAATTTAGCGGAAACATTTCTCCGCTAAATTCAGCGGAAAAATTTCCCTGCTAAATTTAGCAGAAATATTTTCCTGCTAAATTTAACAGAAAAATTTCCCCATAAATTCAGCGGAAAATATTCCCCGCTAAATTTAGTAGAAAATATTCCCCGCTAAATTGAGTAAAAAATTTTGCCGCTACATTTAGCGGCAAAAATTACCCGCTAAATTCAGCAGGAAACATTTCTCCGCTAAATTCAACGGAAAATTTCCCTGCTAAATTTAGCGGAAATATTTGCCTGCTAAATTTATCAGAAAAGCTTCCCTGCTAAATTTAGCCAAAATTTTCCCCACTAGCGGAAGAAATTACCCGCTAAATTTTGCGAAGAAATGTATACCCGCTAAATTTAGAAAAAAAAATTCCTGGCTAAGCTTATCGGAAAAATGTTTCCGCTAAATTTAGCGACAACTGTTCCCGCCAAATTTAGCGGTAAATTTTGCGAAAATTTCCCGCTAAATAGGAAAGGAAAGGGAGAGGACAGTACGGATACCCTCCTTCCCCTCATCCTCCTCAGGTGCTGCGCTCTAATTCGGCGTTACAGGGGATTGTAAACATCTTTCATTTTTTCATCGGAAAGCGTTTAATATCCTTCTCTGTGTATAACGGCACCATGGCGACCAATCTGAGTCTGAACGCCGCTTCGTGTGACCCACGATACTACCGGTGCCTTCTGTCGAATGCTCCCTATAGATAGACACTTTGCGGATGAAACGTGGCCTCCAACGAACGTTGCACTACTCTGCACTCCCGGGTCGTCTACTAGAGTCACTGGCAGCTTCAAAGACGCGGGGTGTGGCGACCGCCGTGGCGGTGCATGTTTGGTGCTGGTTGATTGGCTAATGGGATGCTGCACCGGCTGCGGTTGATCCTGATCTGAAAGGAAGTATAGTAAAGTCCCTAGATACTTCTTTTACGAGTAACGACAACCAATACAAATGACAACGCACATTTCGCTGGAACAAAATGGCGCCATTCAGTTCATACCTCTGCTGTGCGCCGCCATTCACTTCCTAAAACCTGCAGCGTCACGCAGTCGGCGCTTCAAAGTATGTCGCTATTTGGAGGAAGCTCTTATATAGGAACTTTAGAGCATACAAAGTCCCTAGATAAGAGGTTCCTACAAGTAGCGACATTCTTTGAAGCGCCGACTGCGTGACGGTGCAGGTTTTAGGAAGCGAATGGCAGCGCACAGTAGAAGTTTGAACTGAATGCCGCCATTTTGTTCCAGAAGAAAGTGCTTTGTCATTTGCGTTGGTTGTCGTTACTTGTAAAATAAGTATCAAGGGACTTGAAGTGCATAGTACCGCGGGCGACGCGGTGCGACATTCACTTACATTGATCGTGACAGTACGTGTTCTGGGCTGAACATCTCTCAGTCTTTAAAGGGGCTGTGCAACGATATTCGCATGGAATGTTTTTCACTTTACACAAGCTTACTGGCACTAGTGGGACTCAAGGATACTTGCCCGCAACGCCACTGACTAAGAAACTTCTTTTTGCGGTGTAATTCTAAGGAGAAAAGCGAGCGTTTTCATTCCATCTCTTCTGCGCAAAACTTGTTGACGTAGCTGGGCGGTCGCAGTACCTCCCAGTGACGATATTTGATTAAGGCTCATAGATTGGACACGAGCATTGTGTGGGCACTCGATTTGGCCTCGTGATAATCGATAACTCGAGAAGCATTCGGGTAGTAGCCCGTTTTCCATCGCTCGAATAACCGAACCATTGCAATGTTTTGATCTCATCGCTTTTCCCGCGCTTTGCCAACCCCGTTTGGTTTTGGTTTTGGGGTTTTTTGGCGCAGCAGCATCGGGGCCATAGTGCGCCATTGCCAACCCCGTGGCTATGAATGTTGATCATTGCCAACCCCGTGGCTATGATCAACATTGGCGGCATATTATCGGCTCCAGATTACGTGGCAGCTTGTTTTGGTTGCGAGTTGAGGGGGTGAACGGTGCTCGTTTTTACAGCGGAGCTGTTAAAGGCTAGTTTCCCCAGGATCATGTCCGCCGGATTAGAAATGATGACAGCGAACTCTGGACAGCTACCGCCATCTATGAGCGACGACGGCAACCAGACAAGTGGTTGCCGCCGTCGCTCATAGATGGCGGCAACCTTTCTTCGGAAGAAGAAAAGCGGCAGCGGAACGAGCGGCGACTTGCGCAGCAGCGCGAATAGTTCCGCAACCGCCGCGAAGCCGCTATCGCCTAAAGTTCCACTGCGTCGAACGCTTCAGATTTCTTTCCGAAAGAAGGGCAGATCGCTCGCCTGGAAAGGCGCCACCGAGAACAGAAGCTACAGCTCCGAAGCTCTTCCTTCTTCGCCAGAGTGAAAAGGCTGAAAGTTTTTTTTCTTTATTTTTTTTTCTGCAACTTCAATGACGTGTGGCGAAAAACGAACGGGCTTTTCACAGGTCATTAACATCAGCCTATCAAAAACCCATTGTACATTTTCGCTTTCTGGATTATTGAACTGGAAATATATTTGGATTCTATCTGGATTTCAGGTTTTCAAAAAATTATTCCTTCGTCTGTAATATGGATTTTAGGTTTCCAGAAACTATTCCAGTTAGATTCCCTGTTCCTAATCCAGAGAGTGAAAAGTTATACTGGGTTTTCCGGTAGGGAAGGGATCCGTTCTAAGCGGTATTTACACAAAATACAAACATCGTTGCATCGCCCCTTTAAGTTCTGCCTTCTGCATTTCTTCGTTCCTTCCTAGAGTTACTTCCCTATAAAATGTTATATCAGTTCATATTAAGGTGCTTTAGTGAATCGTTTTTTTTTTTTGTCGTTCTTTTTAGTGAGGCGTGAAATCACGCGCTGCTAAGTTGCAGTCAAATTTCCTTGTGTCAATATTGTGGTATATTACGTTTCAGCGTAAATCAAGATGCAGCCGCGCTACGACGTAACGGGACAAATCGGGTAGCATCAAAAGTACAAGCTACTAGGCCTATTTTTAGTTAGGATTGGTTCAGCGATGTTAGAACACGTACTGATACATGACGAACACTGTGACTATGCACTTCTGACGCTGTCAGGTTGGTCCCGTACGAAAATGTCAGATCGGAGCGGTTCCAGTTCGGATCCGCGGGATTCTAAACTTGTGGACAGTTCCGATCCGCGCGATTCTGGGAGTAACCAGTCGGTTCCAGGGAGACGCAACACACTCGAATCGCACGGTGTTCGGTGGATCCGAACACCGTCCCGCACCCCTTGTTCCAGTAGAGTCAGCTCCCAGCCAGCGGGCGCGCAGATGCGTGACTGGAGGAGGGGAGGGAGGGGTGGGGTTGGGGGGCGGAGGGGGGTCGGCGAGGAATTTCCGCGGTTTCTCGCAGGTCACGTGTTAGGGACAGGTGCATCCGCTGCGGAGGCGCTGCGAGCGGGCGTTCTCCGCGCGCGCGCCTGGCCGCCTGGCTTTGTCTGTTGTCTGTTGCAGTCGGCGGCAGCGCAGCGCCGAGAGTTTAGTCAATTTAGCTTCCTTCTTCGCGCTCGTCGGACTGTCAGTCGGCGCTCGCCCAGCGGCGACGTTCGCTCTGCGGGCGCACAAATACTGACGCGCCTATCGTTGCCCTGGATGGATACCCACTGACCTCGGCTTTGAATCTTTATTAATTGTGAAGCTGCCGACCCATTGCACTTTGGCTCGGCATCTGGATGCGCTGGCGTGCTTGGTGACAATACTTGGACAACTCGGATACCGCTTACCTGCCGGAACTTCCCGATGCACTCAACACTGGATACTGTGCTTGTGCGTGCTGTGTGTGAGTTCCGTGCACCGTGTTTAATGACGACGCGACGTCGCCTGGACGACCGTGTGCGCCGCCGGAATCACCGCTGCGCTCACCATTGGACTTTACAAAAGTGTTTCGCGCGACGCCCTTAGCCGTTACAAGCGAGAGATCGTCGTGATTTCAGACCCAGTCCGCCTGGGTCTGAAAGCGCGACGATCTCTCGCTTATAACGGCTAAGGGCATCGCGCGAAATTCTTTTGTAGAGTCCAGTGGTGAGCGGAGCGGGAATTCCGGCGGTGCACCGCCGGGGGTTAAAATTGGGACTGGAAATGCGCGGTTCCAGGCTGGATACAAACTGGTGCCCCAATTTCAGGTCTAGGCGGAACCGGCATTTTTCATTCCGGCCTGAATCTGACATTTTCGTAAGGGGTACATCAGCTCGTAGCGTCGGCTGTGTCTGGACCTTAAGCAAAACGAGGTATAGGGTAACACCGTCTCCTGAAGCACTTCATTGCTAACACCGCGATGAAAATACGGCTTCCAGAGAAACACACGGGTAAAACAAAAATGTCGCAATATTCGTTCATTTGTGTGAAAGTTTAGTATAAGGTTTAGATACTTTTTAGTAGCGAAATGCTCTGCCAATTCTGCATTCTCCCCCGTCGTATCAGCCCACCTCACGGTGACTCGGTAGAGATCTTGAAAAACTCTAACGAACTTTTGCACTGCAGTGTCGAGAGTGAAGACCTCCGTGGTGTCTTCTGCAGAAAAGAGAAGCAACTGCAATGAAATTCCATTCGTATATTTATTCCTATCTGACATATGGGTGACGGAGACGGGGTAAAAGCTGCAGAAGTGCAGACTGACAAAACCCCTGCTCTCTACTGGCAGATCGGCCGACAGGGAAAAATATTACTGAATGAAAGGACGAAAGAAATAATCGCTGCAATTCGAGAGGAAATATTAAATGTTTTGGGTGAATATTTTCCGTATTGTTTTCGTATTAAGCGTACCGATGCAAGCTTTTTAGTCTTCTAAAAAGTTTCGTTCTGTTAGTAGCCTACACTGTACCATTTGAAGCCCGTAGTTCGTTCTAGGACGGGGCATTCTCAAGGATCCAGCACTACGTACGCTATATACAATATTTTTTACGCTTAGTTCAGAAATCCGTAATAAGGAGGACGCCGAGTTGTTTCGATTTACATACCTCAAGAATGTATCTTTATATATTTTGCCATCATCGAAGTGAGAGAAAGAGAGAGAGAGATAATTTTGCGAGTTTGGTAAAAGTTCACGTTAAAAAATGAAAGACGTTTACAAATCTCTGTAATGCGACAATAAAGAATAGCTGTTGAGGAGGAGGAGAGGCTACGGAGGGGAGCGTATGCACCTCCTCCTCTTCCATACCCTCTCCTCCTCCTCTCCTCCTTCTGCTGGTCCCGTTGCTATCTCCTCCTCCTCATCCTCCTCCGCTCCCCCTCCTGCTGAATTTGTTCATGGGTGAGGCGATATGAAGCCATGTAACGTCATTTTCCCTGCTAAATTTAGCGGGGGAAATAACGTCACATGACTTCGTGTTAAGTTTCTCCGCTATGTTGAAACTCCGCTAGGTTAATCAAGTGCAGTGAACGTGTCCTGATTCTGCGCTTTTTGGTCTTCTGTGCATTTGTGTCACGTACGTTTGGACTGCGCTCTAACTTGTGTATACCATTACTAAAACAAAATATAAAATGTATGCGAGCCTGTTTAACATTACGTTATTTATTTAGCAGTGTTGGGTTACATAAGGTAACACCGTCTGTATCTGAATCTCTTAACTGAAATTCATGATTTCTCTCGATAGGAAGGAAATATCGTTCTTCGATAAAAATCTTGATTGGTATTTCAGAAGGTGCGAAAAAAACTTGGAAGTTTCTTTTTGAGGACAGCAGCAGAGTGTTGCGAACTTCCAGCCAGCATGTGTAGGCCTTCAACGTGACCAGGAAAATGTGACGCTCCGGAGGACATGATAGGTTAAGGAACGCAGGACGTGACGTGTTCTGGCTCTATTCTTATCGCTTTTCGGTGAATGCGGCACTAGACGATAAGAACGGTGGTGGGCAATCACGAATCAAAAAGCGTGAACATAATATGTCACGCCCCGTGTTTCTTAGGTTCTCATGAACTAGCGTGATATTATCATTATAATTGAGGTTGTGTAAAAGTTTTTTTTTTTTCTGAGCTGCGAAATAGTTGCAGCTGCATCGCTACGTATGTATGCTCCTTCCACTCTTCACACGCAAAACAAACAGAAAGAAAGAAAAAGATGTGACAGTTGTTTATTTGCGGCATGAACTTGATCAAACTGAGACAGCTTGGAAAAAAAAATAAAATAAAGCCTTGACTCACCTTCGGTATTTTTAGCCTGAAATGAAAACAAAAGAATGCGTATTGTTTCGTAAATTGAACATTACATTCTACGTGCTAAATAGTTCAAATGCACGATGGGAATTAAATGTTTGTGCGACTAATAATTCACAGAAATATACGTAGTACATCCAGAATATAAGTTTTGCCTTTTATCTACTCGCAATTATCGAAAATATCAGTTCCCTCAATCTACTGCATGAATTAGTCAATGGCAACATTCAACTTAAACTTGAAAACTGCATGCAATTTAATAACAATAGACGCACACGCAGCCAACGTGAGAAAACCAGAATAATGCTAAAACAAAACAAAAACAAAAATATTTCAAGTATTCGGTAATTTCTCGTACCATTAGAGAATGAAATAATTTACCGTTAATCATGATTAGTAAACAAACAACTCCTACATTTGTCACTGCACTCACAAAACAGGTAGTATAATAGAACGATTAGTTTTGCTTCAATGTTTGTTTAAACTTATTCTATGTTCATGCTATTCACTATTTGTTGCGTTATTTCACGCCAAGGTATTAATATCAGCGGACGTTTCGCATTTTATTTCTTTCCTGTAGTGCGCTATCTCCACATTTCTTTTTCAGTTCGCTATGCCATATGTTTCAAGCATAATATACCATGTTTTTTTTTTAAATTTCGTTTGTTGTATTTCTTTTACATCTTGCCATTTATACATCGTGCATTCTAGTTGTTGGTATGTACAATTTAATTGTATTTTGCCATGTTTACTTGTACAAAAAAACGACACCACGATAACACAAGACCAAGGCAATATGAACAAGACAAGGCGGTTAGGTGTGTAAAGGATTGCGTCGTCCACCTGTTTCCACCACAAGATGGTGCCACATACCGGGAGTCTGCGGAGTCGCGCGTTCAGCGCGATCCTAAGGAGAGGAAGAATCGCACTCACACACACACTCGCGCTCGTGCCGCGGGATCTGAATACGTGTTTAAAACCCCTTTACGTTCTAAAAGTAGCGCAAGGTGCGTCGATGCATGATGCACTTCTAACGTGCAGCCCTTGGGGAAATCATGGCGGCACAGCGCAGCACTGTGCTAGCTCTCAGGCGCCATGTTCTTCCCAGAAGTGATGCGCAGCGCGTGTCTCGAGCATTTCCACAACAATGAATGGCGCCACTTTTCTCAGGATAGAGGGGCTTTATACATGCCGGCCTAGGCCGCTCTTTTTAGGTATTAATAAACCCTGTTTTATTTCCTCTAAAACGTGCCCGGCGTTAACAATCGTGTCCTTGAGCGTGCAGCTTCCACACGATCAACAAAGTCAGGACACCTCGCTGTTCAGTGTAGCAGATGCTCATGCAATTTTGCCTTCAGTGACCCCAAGAATTTTGCAACGGTTAAACCAGCTGAACTACGAAAATAGGGAGAAAGGAGTAAAGACAAGCAATATGTACCACCAACTAGCTCAGCTTCTACCCCCCAAGAGTTTGGCACGCTATAAAGGGAAATGTCGCGAGGAATTCGCGAGGCGTTTGAGAGTAAAACTAAAAGAGAAAAGTGCATAATCGACACGCCTTTAGCCGTAAGCGCGAGACACATCCGCGTAAAGTCCACCTGATCCGACGTCCGATCTGGCAATACGACTGCCTGATCCGAAAAGTTTGGTCGCTTCAGACGTCGATCGGCAATCCGGCGTGCGTCCAACGTGCCAGATAGTTTCGCACGGCGGACGGACTGTCGGAAGCGTCCAGCCAATGACGGCACAGCTAGAGCGAACGTCATGATGACGTGCTATGTCTGGCGGGACGAGCAAGAAAACGGAACTGACCTGGGCGACGGGAAGCCGGACGCGTGAATCCCGCTGACCCACTCGAGAAAGATGTTCTCAGCAAAGAATGAACGCGCTACCGAGAACGAGCTCCTAATTTCGCTTGTGCGAGCTGAACCTTCAATCTGGGACCAAAGATCTGTATAGGAACGCGGACCTCCGCTGGAGCGCTTGGATCTCTTTGGCGGAGCCGAACGGATCGTCGTGTCGCATACAAGGTCGGAAGCGTGGGTCTGAAACTGTCGCGTGCGGCAATTCGGAGCGACGTTCGGACTGTCGGATCGGACGTCGGATCGGACAATTCGGCCGTCTATGCGTCTCGCGTTTTATCTAGAAACGTATACAAAATTCGAAAATGCCGGCTTTCCGGAATACGCAATGACTTAGCGTTTTTGGGTGGCCATATTTACTTTTGTTTTCAAATAAACTTTAATTGAGAGTGCACCTTATCTTGTTTTTGTATACACTGGCCGAGGTTAAGCAGTTTCGCGTGGCCTGTAGAGCCATGCTGCGCATGCGCGAGGAGCAGTGACGTCACACGGCTCACAGCTAACGGGCCGGAGTCACCGCCGCCGGGCCTGCCTCGCCGGTCTGCGCATTCTAGAGGAGTGACGTCATAGCCTCGGCAGACGCACTGGCGCCGCCGCGTGCCAAGCCGTGCGCCTCCGTTGCGCATTAGCCAAGTCTGACGCTGCACCGGAGCCGCTCAATAGCGCCTCTCATTTTGTGCGCAAACAAATATACATGTTTCACATAATGCGTATACCGTGTGTGTGTCATTGAAGAAGCAGTAAGCATGATAATCAAGCTAATCCTAGACAACCAGGAAAGCTAAGAATAACTTGCTGAACCTTAGCTCACGCTACGTAAATCTTGGCATAGCCGAGCTAAGCCCCCGCAATTTTTTTCTTACCATGCTCATTGTCGTATTTCGACGTTGTTTTCCTTAGCTATGAATCCACTGGCCCAAATCAAAATAATAACGTTGTGTGTGTGTCTCTACAGCCGACAGTTAGTCAGCCTCAATGGGCGTCTGATGTATTAACTGTAGATGAGAAATTTTGCCAGTGCGGTACGATCGCTTGCCTGGGGTCTTTAAAGGGGTACGTAAACAAAAATTGAAATATTCAAATTTCGTTCGGAAATGAGCCGAGCATGACGGATAATAACCGTAAATGATAATCGCACGTTTGTATTTTGAACGAATGGCTATATTTTTCGTTCCAAACGGTGCACTCCAGCAAGCGAGGAGAAGCGAACGGAGAACGCGATGCGTCATTGGATATCCGGCGCAAACAAAAACAGAAAGAAAAGATTAGTAAGGTACGTTGTTGGGCTAGTTGGTTCATCTTAGTAAAACATATATCTGTCGCGCTATTCTATATGTTTTACAAAGAAAAAATTCCCCGCATTCGTGACGTGGCAAGGCTGGCGTGGTTATGAGCTTTGCCCCTTGTGGCGTTGTCAGCGTTGTGGTGGTGTCAATAGCGTCCTCGCGTTACAACCGAGCCTTTCGAAGGACCTCTGGGGTGACGAGCGTGTGACTGGCCCAAGGAGCACGTAGCTTCCACAACACTGTCAGCTTAGGGCTGAACGGGGTGGAGAAAGCAACCATTGTTCGAGTTTTGAGCGACAGGCTAATCTTCTAGGGGGAGAATTGCTGTGTTCGGTTACACCATATGGTTACACAAACGAGGGTTCGAGAGAAAGGGGAGTCTTCTTGGACCGTGTGGTACAATGCGCGATTTGTGAGTTGAGGAGGAAAGCGAAAGAAAATGTTGAAACTCCAATGAGCGGCGTTGCTCGGAAGAAATCTGCTACGTCACGACTACGAAGCAAGTTCCCCAACGTTGTTAAATTACCTCCCAAATAGGCTCCGCATGCATCCACCAGGTGCACATTGAAAGATCGTTTATTTAGCTTTAAAATTAGTTTTTGTGCCTTTCAACGGAAGACTGGTGTTTCTGATGTTAGGGTGCAACATGCAACACATTCAAGCTAGAAAATGAGCGCTGGAATTTTTTGCCTACTCCTTTAAAGGGTTTAAAATACGAAAATCAAAAGGGTAGAATATTCCTAAAATGAAATGCTCGTAGGCTACATTGTATATTCACCAAGTTTCGTGATTTATAGGGATCCAATAATTGCAATAATCAATTTACGAATTTTGGTCAGTTTCATCTTGCGAACAGGCCGCACTGCCCAACTTAGGAACACATAAATCACGTGATCATGAACGCTCTCTCATTCTAGGCATTTCCATGATCGCCCAAGCTCGCCTCGCCACGGTACAGTCAAGATCTAGCTCTCACGGAACCCGGCTACTCCGACGCTACTCTCGCTCTCACCCCCGGCCCTTTGACCTTCCACCCTGCATGCACCTGCAGCGAGAGATTTCACTCCACGTGCTCCGAACTGATGCGTCCTAACCCATTCGGTCGCCGATCCCCCAAGCCCAAATCACCACTTGTACATTTTGCAAAACAGTGTTCCCCTTTGCCCTGATCACCGATCGGAAGCCTGGATATTGTCACATAAATAAATAATTGAATAAATATATAAAAAGAAACTCACAAAATTATGTGGAATACGTTATTTTTAATAAATTGTGCGTACGCTGGGACATTTCACGATGAAATCTCTTCGGTGTTACGGAATATTTCACATTGTGGCACAAGAGTTTGAATAGCCGTCTCATAGATTTCTGCAGCCTGAACCCTGAGCCAACATTTGGTCAATCATTGTAACATGATTTGTTCTACTCAAGTGGTTTGTAAAGCTTTTTATGTATTTATTTTGAAACTTGAAGGACATATGTTGTGACATAAAAAGGTTAAGAGCTCAGTTCTTCAGAATGTTTTCGCTCACTTCCTTCACCAAATTGTCCGTAACCAGAAACGCCACGGCCGCTCAATCTCGTTTCTTCCGCTCTATGGAAGGCCGTGACTCCGTACTGCATTATTGTTGTTCTGTAGCCTTCCATTACACATTCAAACCGGATATTGTATCAATATTTTACTCACGGCATTTGTTCCATAAACCTCGCAAATTTCCTTTATGGTGTCTCTATGGGCAACAGGGTGGGAAATTTGTAGCGTTCTTGGATCTTTTTAAATATTCGAAGGCAGCGGGACATTTTTTTCTATCATTTAGATAAAATTATTGCAAAGTAGTTGAGTGCAATTATTTAATTTTACAAGTGGAATAGAGTTGTGATTTCCCTAATAATGCTATTCGGATTGAAACTCCTAATATCGGTGTTTTTGAGTGCTAAATATTTTTATTCACTTTTTCGATAATTAAAAACATGCTCTAAAAATCTCGTAATACTTGAAGTATAACAACACCCTAGAATTTTTAAAAAAATTACAATATTTATGTGCTACTCAACTGGACACTCCACTGCCTTCGACCGCCAATAATCCTTGTACCACAAAAAAAGAACAAAAGCAACTTGTAGCACGTTTTGCATGTTAATTATATATTAACCTCTTAAGCTTAATTGATTTTCCAAAATTAGTGATTTGAATTGCTTTAAAAGTAATTATTACGACTTACCAAAGCTGCAGTACAGAAAAGGAAGCCATACAGCAGTGTTTCGGCGATCATGGTTGTACTGCGTGCGTTCAGCGTTTAACACCGACAGCACAAGACCCGAGGCGCCAACAGAAGTGAGTCTGTTGAACAACAGTATTTATTAAGCCTCGAGGCATTGTTTGCTCCGCAGCTGTGAATTTGTTGAGAATTGACGCGAACCTGCGACCCGCTATTGCAGCCTTGCGTAACATCAAATACGTTGTACGAAGCGTTGTATCTTTGCGTTTGCGTCACTTGAAATCTGTCCGAAATCAATAAACTGAGAATCGTGTTTTTTTTTCCGGTACATTCAAAGTTACAGGAAGTTATAAGGCAGCGGAAAAATTACCTAGCTGGCTACTTAACACAATGCAAATAAACAAAAGTATCTTTTTTTTTTTTAAAGGTTCTAGCGACTATGAGTGACCGTGATACGTTCATCTGATTATTTAAAAAAAGGTAAGCGGTGTTTTCCCATAAAAAGAAAACACGGCTAGACAACTGAATTTCAAGTTTCCGCTACATTCGATGAAGGTGCCTCCTTGCTATGCTCCGTTTCACTTTAAAGACCGACTTAGAGATTCGTCTTCTGCCGGGAAAAGCAAACGAATCCCAGTTTGCCATAGATACGCTCGGGTTTGAGCCCATATATCCTCCTTTATTCTTCAATGCCTGTCAAATCTCAAAAAACTCTGGTTTGAGGCTTGTCGCTGTTGTTAGTTTTTGTTTGTCGCTCTACTGAAACTAGAACATTATAGTTCGATTAATGGACAGTTTGGTCCGACTTCTATATATATAAAAAATAAGTTTTTTCGGTCACAAATAATTCATAAAGTAAATAATTTTATATTTTATAAAAATTATTACCGCTCTTCACAAAGAGAGAAAGAAACGTACGTATAAATTTGTAGTGACCACTGAAACAGCGCGCACGAAAAAGATGGCAACTTCACTCACGAAGTGAGGTCACACGGACGCTGCGCGATTCACGTCACCAGAAAGAGCGATCAGCGACATCGGTCAACGGCACGCAACTCCCCAAGCCGACACCATCACAACTACGAGAACATTCTCAGATGGCAAGGAAGTTCTAATCATGCCGGTGTCAGTGCACGCGCAGGGAACTAGAAGTAGCCGACGAACAAGAACATCCCCACGCAGCTGGACCGATAGCTCCGCCATGTGCTATCAATTTCCTTATGTAAAAATGTTGAAACATATTTGTCTCGTTTTCAGAAAAGAATACTTAATTCAAACTTTGCTCGTTTGTTGTCTTAGTTAAACACTACACATGGGCGTAAAGTATGTAGTTTCAGACATACCTTTTGGTTTTCGTTTACAAAACTGCGGAATTTTCAATAATTTCAATACTGGCCATAAACAAAATTCAAAAATTGTTCGCTTCTAAAAATATCTGTTTTATAATTCGCTCATTTGTTTAGTAAATTGTACACTATATATAACCGTTGAACATATATTTTTAGAGCGACGAAATTTTTAGTTTTTTTTTTTTGTTGTTGAAAACTGGGTATTTTAATTGATTGCTTTTTCGTATTTTTATGGCGTACAGCAACGAAGACCATAATATGCCAAATTGCGTTTGTCAGGCTAAAAAGATTAAATGAGAAGAAAAGCAACTGAAGCTAAGTCAATGCTATGCTAAAACTGGTGTAAACAGCCATTTAATTTCAAAATGGTATACTAGTTATAACAGATATAAGCAGCAAGCCATTTTAAAAAGTTCGGAACGCGGGTAAGTGTCATTAGAGGGTGACTGACAAGCAAAAACAAAGAGTGGAATGGAAGATGACACCTAACAAGTTCAGGGAAACACAAACGACGTATGTGCTGATAAACACGACATTGCAATGAGATGTGCATAACAGTTAACACTTCTCCACACTGCTTACCTTGTTTTACATACTTCCAACAAAGCAGGTACGAATGTGTCAGGCGGATATGACCAATTCTCAAGGGACACACAATAACCTCAAGATAACGTTCCCTATGAGGTTAACTCTCCCAGATTCCCAAAGTGGAGAAGATCAACTCAAGCTTGCTCTTAGCTTAAGTGTCTCATTCTAACTGCAATGCTGTAAAAAAATGCTGTTTTTAACAGAGGTCTAAGTTCCTGGTGGGACAAGGCTAAAGATGCTATTTCGAGATCGTAGACAATGCAGCCAATTTTTCAGCCTTATAGTTGCCTGTAATCCCAATATGACTAGGTACCCCGAAATATTTAATGTCGTGTCCAGATGGAAGAGCCTGATTTATTTCATGAGCTACATGCATCGCAACAACATTTGTCTTATCAAGTATATGTGCAACTGCCAGTAAAACACCTCCCAAATCTACCAAAAAAAGAACTTTCAATGTATTTTTTGTTTTTTGTTATATGTTCCACTGTGAATAAAGAAGCATAATGTTCTGCTGCAAAATTCTTGCCGGAGGTCCAAGTTGCTCAGCTTTACAGCAGGAACTGGAATATGCAGCAGAGTCTACAAAAGACGATGAGTTAGAGCCTCAGTATAGAACTCTGTGTAATTGCTACACGTTTGCTGCCAATCGAGAAACTTTTGCTGGATGACCTGCGGAAAAACAGCCCGCTTACAATACTTCGCAAGTGTCTAGCGCACTACTACTCTTTCTACGCAATTAAAGTATTTCTAAAAAAAAATATTGATTTAGTGGTTTTGGATAACGCTCAGTAAGTTTCTAATTAGAACCTTAAGTCTATTTTACTATTACAAGTTTAATTAACACATAGTATTTAATTAGTCCACAGATCGTTATGATTAGCTCAATATACTATGTCGCCCTGGCCGTATAACTCGCCAGCATAAATAGCAGAAATGTAGTTTTGACGGGTTCTGTATTTAAATTAGTGTGACTCTTAGAAAATCACCCTGTGTACACCATATAGTAGATGAAGAAAATAATGTCGTGCCGTAACATATAACTCAGAAAAGGATGGCCTAAGGTGAACTCATATATTTATTGGAGGACGTTTCAATTCTTTAGTCGCAAGAGAGTAATGTTTGGAACTGCTTTCTTTGGATCTTTATTTCTTCAAGAGGCTGTTTGAGTCACTCGGGTCGTGGTCTACGAACTTTATTCCTCAAAAATGTGTTTAGCCAAGCTCGCAGTGTGAGGCGTTAATTCTGTTTTGGTGGTGGAGAGGTGGTAGCTCTGAGCTACGTTTGCTTTAAACAGCCAATTGCCTGGGATATGGCGGAATCTCCTTCGTGTATTAATTGTTCATGTTTAATGTTGCTCACATTGAAGTACTTCCAGGTTAAGGCAGTGGGTGATTCAAACAAAGCTGCAACGTATCCCGTCATGGTAATGTTTGATACCCATGGCACCTCCTAAAACATAAAAATATGAAAAGACTGTTATGTGCGACCCCATATTGATAGGCACAACAGTTTAAGAAGCGCGATGAAGGCGCCGTGACGTTAAAATTTGCTTGATCCTAAACTTTCAACCATAAGGAGCGTAAACCCCTTTACTGGTTTGTCTGTGATTCTGGTTGTTCTAGAAATGGCTCGTGCAGCTTCAACAGTGATATGGCTTCTTGAGCACTGAATGAAGAAAACAACAGTCAGAATTACGCTTCTAACTATAGTAAGTCGGAGTCACACTGCTCATACCTCATACCAAAGACAGTCTGCAAACACGAGTCAGCGCGATTTTCGTGGTTCAAATGCCGCGTGCCAAGACTCTCCTTGAACTCATGGCCATGCGGCATTCGAAGCACAAATTTCGTGGTGACTCGCGCTCGCACCTGTCTGCAGACTGTCTTTTCTATGATGTATACGTGCAGTGAGTCCGACTGTAGGGTTATTTTAAAGCGGTTAAGGGATAGTCTTGGGTGACGTAGCAGCAACGTATGAGAGACGAACGATAGCTTTTCGTTGAACCTTCCCAAGACAAGTTCAACTACAGTCATGATGAAATAAGTTTACACTCACTTAACACAACAAAAAAATATAAGAACAACATAGACGTTTCGACGTTATTATATTTTTTGTGGTGTTAAGCCAGTGTAAACTTTTTTCATTATGACTACCCCTGGCTTTTGGAACATATTTGCATTCAACTGCAGGACCCTTACGCCTGACGTCACTTTCGGACACGCTAGCAAACGTGTGTGAAAGTCTTTTTTTACTCTGTCAATATCTAGGCGCTGTTTTGCTTCTTTTTTTATCGTCTTTCGAACTTTTGGCGGTTCCGACGAAGCTTGGTGCAAGCTCGGACCTGAAATTATATTCCATTTCTTTCAAGCGGAGCATCTGTGGAAGCCAAGCTTAAAGCCCCAAGCTAGCGTTGACGCGTTGATAGTAGACAGCCTTCGAAAAATGGCGCCCACTGTTGCTGGCTTTAGACGCGGCATTCGCGTGTGTGTCTATTCACATTCTGTGACAATAGCAGGTGGATATTACTCTTTAGAAGGAGGCGTGGGTGTGGCGACAAAAGTTTCGTGTTTATATTTTTTCGTCGTGCTTCCAGAAGGAAAAATCCATCAATGTAACCCTGTTTGGCAGTCAATGTTTTCTAATGGACTGCTGACTGTGCCTGACTGTACGTCAAGCATGTCTGATTGGCCAACAAGTTAGTCTGACCGACAGTCAAACTCCAGTCAGACTCCGCTTGTCGGCTTTCTGATGGTTTCCTGGTAGCAGTCGGCCGCCGCGAAATGGCGTCAAGATGTCTTGGTGGCGAGTCTGATTGTAAATCGATTGTCTCTGACTCTACGTCAAAAAGCTTTGACGTGCAGACAGACGTACGGTCAAAGGACGTAAAGTTTGTTCGGATGCCACCATTTCGTCAAATCTATGAAAACGAAAAATAATATATGCACGAGAAAACGATTTCGGGACGTGAGCCCATAAAACCGCTGGTGTTAGAGATATGACACGCAACCGACCGTCAACCTTGATCAGAAGCCCGCCGAAACGCCGAACATGCCACTTTCGCTTCGCCCATGGAGGCTTCGCCGAGCTTCCATGAACGATCGCTCTCGACTCGTT